CATTCCACATCCTCTTCTGAATCCAACTTGAACCTTTGGAAGTTCTGTCAAGGTATGGTTGCAGCTGTTTCTGTATTACCTTTAGTAAAACTTCACTCACGTGGGATAGCAAAGATATTGTCTGATGATTTCCGCATATCAGGATATTAAGATCTACTTTGAAACACTGTTGGAAGAATTAAGGCAAAAGTTCCAATGACAGGTCTGTTGTAGGAAGTCAAGAGGCATTTTGTGTTTAAACATAGGCCAAACCTGAAGAGACTAAACAGGTAAGAATTTTGAAAAACTTTTAAAACAAAACTTTGATTTCATGGAAGGGAATGGTTTAGAAACTATTAATATGCAAATACTTGACCATCTAAGAATCAGTCATTATTTAATGAATATTTTTGGAGACTTTGCAGAATAGATTGTGAAAATTAGACATTTTAAGAAATTTCCAAGAAAATTCATTGATAGCCAATGAAATGATTGACTTCTATGTTGCCACTGTGGTTATTCATGAACTGGGATCACCCTAGTGTTAGTCATAATGTCAGGAAGCATGTATAGGAAGCAGAATTTGGTCCAGGACATTAGATATACAATATGATGAATATAATTGTGAAGGCAAATTTGCTGTGATGTAACAAATTCTTTCAAAAGCTATGCATGAACCAAACCCCAAAAAAACATTTTTAAAAACTCCAAAAAGCCTTTTTTGTTGTTGTTAGTTCTATTCAATTTACTTGCCACACATTTTTAAGAACACAAGATTTAATTTCATCTCTGAATTTCCATAGAATTTCTGAACTTTAAGGAAGAAGTCATTTCACTTGTGACTTTTGAAAAGAGCTTGTTAAATGACATTTTACCATTTTGATTTCAAATTAATTTTCTGTTCTGGTCCTTCAGGGAAAAAAAAGGTGGTAATTATATGTTAAGAGGTTTTAGAATGGCATATTTTCTATTAGGAAATTTCTAAACGTCTTTTCATTTTTCCTTTTAAGATGAACCATTATTTGAATTTTTAAATGACAAAAGATGGTTCCATTGTAGTATAGGTTTTCCAGTTGTTGCGTTCTCAGTTGCAACATGACCTCTATATAATATTCCATTCCATAAATCTCCATTAAAGAGTAAGGTCTACTTTCCCCTCCCCTACATCCTACCCACAAGGCAAGTTAAACTGATTTCACATGTGGAAAAGCCTGCTGAATTCATTTTCCTTCTTGGGAACATGGGGGAGAAATGGAAGGAGTGGGGGCAGGAAAGAACTCGCTCCTTTAAAATGAATCCAGTTCACCTATAAGCCAAGCCAAATATAGTATAGGAATTAAGAGCATGAGCTCAGTACTTAGAAGATCTTGATTAAATCTATTAAATGTTGGTTTTTCAGTTGTGACAAATATTCCAAAATGATGAGATTTGTACAAGATTGGAGACTATATAAGCAACCGTCTGTACTAGCTATGCAATTCCTTTGTAAATCTAAAACTAGTCTAAAATTTAAAATGTTAGAAAAAAATTTTAAAAACAAAAAACTAAAAACCTGGGTGTGGCTGGCTCTACCAAGTGTTAGCTGTGTTGAGCAAATTACTTAACCCCTCTAAGCCTGTTTTATCCATCTATAAAATTTTCATATGGAGCCTTCTTAAAAGACTGTTGAACGGATTAAATGGTGTCCACATTCGTGCCGGTACACAAATTTTCTGAAACTTTTTATTGTGAATTGAGTGACAGCTTACAGAGATCATCAGTTTTACATTCAACAAATCACAGTTTCACCTCAATAATTGCAGTCCCTTCCACTTAACAAGTTATCCTGCTTCCTCCCCTTGTTTCCATTCCACCCTCCTTCCCATCCCTTCTCAACTTTGTCCTTAGGTAAATGTTGCCTTTTTGATTTTGGTGTACATCAGTTTTTACTATTACTATGTGCCTGACCAAGGATTGGTTATTGTAATTTTTCAAAGGAAGGCAAAGTCACTTAAATTCACATCCTGATTTCTTACCAATTTCTCAATCAATATCTGTTGATTAAAAAAATAAAACCCACTGCCAATTCCAATTCAGAGACACTAGTAGAATGGATTTCTGAGACTATAATCTTTACGCGAAGAGACAATCTCATCTTTCTCCCATGGAGCAGCTGGTGGGTTTTGACCACCGACTCTTTGGTTAGTAGCCCAACATCTAACCCATAGCACCACCAAGCCCAAATAATTGTCTCAATACCTGTTGAGACACAATAGTCCCCCATCACCCAGGTTCTGAACCCCTCTGTGGTCCATCCTTCCCATTGACCCTACATCAAGTCAGTTCCAACCCACAGCAACCCTCTAGAGGGTTTCCAAGGAGTGACTGGTGAGCTTGAACCACCAACCTTGCAGTTCAAGGCAGTAGGTCTCATTAAATCTATTGCTATATTGTCAACCTTGTCACGGTTCATTCCTACTATTTGTACCCTGCCCCTGGCCTTGGTCCTATCTGCCTGCATGAGGACATTGTCCAGCTGGTTTCCTTGCCTGTTTCCTCTGCTCTTCCAAACCCTCCCATGGTATGGTCTAATTTCCTGCTCCGAAACCTTCAACAATCCATTTTTGGTAATTCAAATTTCTAATCCTTTGGCTTTGGTATTCAAGACACTTCACCATCTAGTCTCAGTTTACCTTTCCAGCTGTATTTCTTATTCTTCCCTTCACCCACTCTGAGATATTGTGAGATATGCTTACTGATTCATTATGTGGCCTTGAGTCAATTACTTATCCTTTCTGGGCTTTTGTCTTATCTTCAAAATGAGAATACCACACTTCACAGGATTATTGTGAAGATTAAAATAAAGTCACAACACATGTAGGGCCATGTATAGAGGCAATTATTTACTTGTGTGGCACTGTAGAATAAACACTGGACTGATAACTGCAAGGTTGGTGGTTCAAACCCACCAGGAAGCCCTATACAAAGTCCCTATGAGTTGGAACTGACTCACAGTCACTTAACAACAAATTTATTGCTGAAAGTCTAATAACTCCACCTGTTCTCAACTTCTCCTCAGTTTTTAACAGGCACAGGATGAAGTTAGGAAGTATCACCTTTCAGACCCATATAAATCACTGGGTGTAACTGGCTGACAGGGCACCCAGGGATGGTAGTTAAATGCACTCAGCTGGTAACAATAAGGCTGCAAGTTCCAGTCTACCCAGAGACGCCTTGAAGAAAGCCTAACAATCTACTTCTGAAAGATCAGCTCCTGCAAATCCTATAGAACACAGTTTTACTCTTAGACACACAGGGTGACCATGAGTCTGAATAGACTTGAAGGTAACTTTAATATCACTTACAGTCCTTTCACTTGCACACTGATCAATCTATACCTTCCTTAGTGGTGGGACAAGGGCACGTAACATAAAGGAACCTAATCTTACTGAGACTGGATATCAGAACAGATTGCAGGTACCATAAAAGGCACAGACAACAAAAAGATTTCAAACGTGATGCTGAGGGTGTAAATACCTGGCAGGGATTTAAAAGAAAAAAAAGTTGGAAATGTAGATGAGCAAAGAGCTAGAATCTCAGCTTAGTTATATCCAGGGTGTAAAATGTTCAAACACCAACCAGATCTATGTGGAGCATAAATTCTGCAGATTTAGGAATTTTCTTACTATGAACAGTGACAGATAAGTTGATGGAGATTGGCGTTTTAACTTCAATACCAGTCTTCTAGGTACTTAGGTTTAGAGTTGGTTAGCTGGAGGGGGAAGGGACATCTTGCCACCCATTCTTATTACACACATACTCCTGCCCCCACCACTTCCGTTACCTACAATAGCCTGGTTCTGGGTAGAAACATACACTGGATCAACCCCCAAATATTGTCCATATACAATTAGGGTGAAAGATATGAGAAAGAGTAACTTTTCAGGTAGCACTTACCTTCCATCTCTATGAATCTAAGAAAGAATTCACTAGAAATGGGGGTATTTAGGTAATCATTCATTTTTGTATGCATTCTCCAGTTTAAAATAATATCCTTTGACATATGCTAAGTTATTGTTGTTAAGTGCCATCGAGTTGGTTCTGACACATAGCAACCCTGTGTAGGGTTTCCGAGGAGCAGCTGGTGAATTTGAACCACCAACCTGTGGTTCAAACCGACTTTGCAGTCCAGCGTATTAACCCACAGCACCACCCCAGGAGCCTCAGCGAATGCTGTATTAAACTGTAAGTAAAAATCTAATAGTATAAAATGGTTTGGGTACATGGCAAAGATTGTTATTTCAATTTTTTAAAATCAATATTTCATATGAAAGAGAAAGACCATGGAACCATAAAAGAGACAAAGTAAGTCTTTAGAAATCACAGGTGATTTGAAATAATATGTCAACTAAAAAAAGAAAATTGAGATGACTATTTTAAATAATGAAACCATAGCTCAGCTATGTCTTGTGTCTATAGCAATCCTTGTAAATTTTCTTTTCTGCTAATTAAAAAGCAAGGGTCAAGATTTCGGGTTAACCCTTCCAGAAGACACCTACAGCCTCTTTAAACATGGCCACTTTCAAAAAGTAAATTTTACTGAACACACTCATACATGCAAATCATCAAAATTTATATTTTTTTCTGGATGAATATCAGACATAATGCAGATACATAATTTACACACTGTGAATTACAAAATAATTCATAACACTTCTACAGACCATATGCAAGTTTATTTAAATATGTAATAATTTAACACTCCATAGTGAACAAATTCATAAATATAAAAATAGATGGTTTACCAATCAAATATAAGCACCACAAAGAAGCAGCAGTTTATACATACACTATTAGGCCTCTGGGAAGATTAAGGCAACATAAATATCTCAAGTAATTTTATGAGAAGATTTTACTCACGTAATAGTCAGATGTTATTAAAACATCTCAAAATAGGCAGAGCCCAGTTTTTCTGTCTGAAGTCTGCCCTTCCAGCTTTCTTGTCAGTATATTAATGATTCTTCTTAAATATTGTAAAATAATTAGTCTAGATTGACAAATGGGCTGTCAAACCCGCTATCTTGTTGGTTGACTAGTGGAGGGATTGGTTCACTTGAAGGCTGCCTATGCACTGAAGATGGTATTATACTGCTGAGTTTTTTAAAATCTGCCTTTAATAGGTCAGCTGTGTGAAGAGCTGGGTGTCCAAGAGTCAGAGTAATCTTCCCTGGCTGGGAATACATGGTTCCTCCTGACAGGTCTGAACCATGATCACTTTGGCAGTTCATGGGTTTATAAATCATATTATTTTTGTCTGTATCTGAAAGGCAACTAGTTGTAGAGAACTGTCTGGATTGAAGAGATTCAGTTAGTGTGCCCAGAGTTCCTTGTGGTCCACTATGTAGAAAGGACACATCATGACTGTTACAGGGCAAGGTTGTGCTGTTGGAACTCCAACCTAGAGAGATAGTAAGGTCTCCTCCATCCTTAACTGGAGTTTCCTGAACACCCAAACCTTGACTTTTCTCAGATGTGGCATTTTCACTTTCCATCACTGGACTGCATTTATATACCTTTAAGCCAGGTCTTTCATTGGGACCTTGAAAGGTGTAAGTGGATCCTGATTCAGAAAGACTTGGGGTACATCTAGGTGAGGGTTTATTTCCGAAAGTCCCAATAAAGGGGTATCCAGTCGAATGCAGAAGTGATTCAGAGCCAGTATCGCAGAGCAGATCTTTCTTCACGTGCAAACCAAAGCCTCTTTCACCTTCGCAAGGAACAAACTCAGGAGAAACACTCCCTGGCACACCATCTAACTTACTGCAGCCACTATCCCCAAACTGAAAGTCTGAGTGTGATCCTTTGGAGGCCACAAGCTTTCTGTCCCCATGTTCAGAATCTTCTAACCGCCTTTGTAAGTTACAAGCAGCCTTCTTCTTAGGAACTTGCTCACACAAGCTTCTGGGGATCGTTTTTATACCATTTGATTTACTTTCAATGTAGCTGGATACATTTTGATTCACATCTTTCCTTTTCAATTTTTCAAATCCAAGCAGCATCTCTGATGTCAGAGGCAGTTCTACTATGTACAAAAGAACACAAAATTAGGAGAAAATTAGCATTTAAAGAGACGCAAAAATACTTGTTTTTAATGTGTGTTCAAAGAAGCCCTGTGATTGTCATCATTTTCAAAGAAAATGTATCAATATTGGACACTTTAAAATATTCTTTTATACAAATCCATGAATAAATCTTAGTAATTTTGTTCTTGAAATCCAATATATTATTATTTTGACCCACCTAAGAGTCCTGGTGTGGTGCTGTGGGTTAATGAGCCAGACTGCAAAGCTGTTTGAACTGCAAGGTCGGCAGTTCAAGCTCACCAGCTGCTCCTTGGAAACCCTATACAGGGTCACTATGGATCGGAACCAACTCGACGGCACTTCACAACAACAACAATCTGACATTTTCTGTCATAGATGTTACAGGGCTCTAAAAGCTAACTACAATATTCCCAGTCCCGCTGTATCAGTATAGAGCTTTGGACAGATTGTGTATTGGCTAGAATAATCCAATACCCACACCCACACCAAGCCACACCACACCCACACCTCTACAAAACCAAACTGAGTTTCAGATTAAATTAGCTAACAACACTAAATCTGATTAGAGGCAAAACAGCCAGGGAGCACTGAAGCACAGGCATTATATCTCAGAGCAGTGTACCTTGTCCTTCTGCTGGGACACATTTGTTCACTAACACCCAGATCTAGACAACTCTTTGCTTGATATATGCCACTACCCTTTTATACCCTTTTGTTCACATCATCATTCCAAAATTTACATAAGCCATATTTATGCTTCTAGGTGCTAGCGTAGTGGTTACGAATCAGGCTGCTAACCTCAAGGTTGGCAGTTCGAAACTACCCACTGTTCTGCTGGAGAAAGACGAGGCTTTCTGATCCCATAAAGATTTGCAGCCTCGGAAACCCTGTACAGGGTCACTATGAGTTGGAATCGACTCAACAGTACTTAATAACAACAACATATTTGTGCTCCTATGTAAGGAATGTTTACCAACATCAGATTCTTAGACTCCTGAACAATCTCTCTGCTCCAAACTCTTTAGCAATTCAAAAACCCATTTACCCACCAACACCAAACACCCACAGCCTTGGAGATGACTCAGAATCATAGCATCCCCTCTAGGGCAGAGTAGAACTGGTCTGTAGGGCTTCTGAGGCTAGACAACTTTAGGGAAGCAAATTGCCTTATCTTTCTCTTGTGGTATAGCTGGTGAGTTTGAACTACTGACTGTTCGGTTAGCTTAACCCACTGTTGACCCATAGATATGCTAAAAAATCTGTGATTGGGAACTTATCAATTTTTTTCATGTATCTGTATTAAGTTTTGCTTTATACATTCTAAAACTATGTTACAATATGGAGAAAAATAAGTTACATCTTCTTGGGGATTGCTCCTTTAGCAGTACAAACTAGCATCTTTATCCTTTTTAATGCTAAATCTAATTTACCTAATAATGATATTACATTTAACTCTATAATTAATCTAATGTTAACACTGCATTTGCTTGGAGTTTCATTCGCCATCACTTTATTTTGAATTTTAGATGTTCTTCTTGTAAAAATACATATATACATTTTTTAAAAAAAACTCTGTTTGACAAAAATGGGGCAGTAGTCAATCTTACAGTCCAGAAACAGAGAACCCTAGGATCATCAAGGGGGAGGAGCATGAGCAGAATGCGGGACCCTATCCAGAGAAGCAGCGACATCAGAAATGGAGGCAGAGATGGGGACATGGAGAGACGGAGCAGCTGAGGACTCTAGACTCAAGGAAAGGGAAAGGCTGTGTGCTGGTAGCCAGGAGGCAGGCTTGTAGAATGTGTCCTTTGGTGGTTTAAATGTTTATATATATAAATGATTATATATTGATTTTTTTGTACATCTCCCCAGCAAAAAAACCAGAGGGAATAGAAGTAAATACTATTGAGTGATGATGCACGGAGGAGATTGGTATCATTGCAATGAAACTATGGGTGTAAAGCCAATTTCTCCCATGTAAACTATCACTCAATTCACAATAAAAAACCTTAAAATAAACCTCTGTTTGAAAGTCACAGTCTATTAATAATTGAGTTTAATCCATTTACATTTGTGGTGAATGATGACATCTTTCATCCTATTACAGGCATACCTTGAAGATACTGCAGGTTTAGTTCCAGACTACCACAATAAAGCAAATGCTGCAATAAAGTGAGTCACACATAGTTTTTGGTTTCCCAGTGCATATGAAAGTTATATTTACACTACACTATCCTGGTGTGGCACTGTAGGATAAACACTGGACTGCAAGGTCAGTGTGTTCAAGCTCACCAGCCACTCCTCAGAAACCCTATATAGGGTAACCATGAGTCGGCACTTGACAACAACAACTTATACAGTTTATTAAGCGTGCAATAGCATTATGGAAAAGTTTGAAATATCGTGAGAATTAAAAAGTGCCATAGAGACATGAAGTTAGCACCCGCTGTTGGGAAAATGTCATCAATAGAATTGCTCAGCAAAGGGTTGCCACAAATCTGTTTCTAAGAAAATGAGGTCCTGGTGTGACACTGTACGATAAGCACTAGACTGCTAACTACAATTTCTAAAAAATGCAATTATCTGCTAAGTGCAACAAAACAAAAATTGCCTGTACTATTGTCTAGTTCTTCCTTTCTTTCCTGATTTTGTTAAGATTAAAGTGTTTTCCTCCAAATTTTTCACCTATCAGTTTAAAAGTTATATATTCCATTTCTATTTCTTTATTGGTTACCCTTAGATTTTATTTAATACAGTAATCAAATCTGTCATTTTCTAGCATTGGTTAGAGTTAGCATATATTTATTATCCCAGAATACAGCAAAAATCTTAGCATACTTTTAGTTTCTTCTATAATGTCCTCTCACACTTGTCTGGAGAAACTATTTTTATAATCTTAAGAGATGCTGTTTGCTCTGATTAACTCTATTTCCTTGGGTACAAGTTCTACTGGTTTTTGGTTTTGTTTTAGTTTTAGTTTGGTGTCTTTTTTCATGGTCCAGACTTCCTATGACCGATAACTCTTGACTGAATTCTTATCTTTTAGCTTTCTAGAATGTTGCATCTGTTCATGCTGCTAGTGTAAAGAAGTTGGGCTTGGGTAGAAACGAATGGGCTTCAGGATAGCAAGATTTCGTAGCTACTACTCTAAACATGTCTCGATAGCACATAACAGCAACAACAACAACTCTAAACATGTGGGATCCCAGTTCTACCTTGCTGTGGCTAGCCACCTGGAACACTTGTCTTGGTGTCATAGTCTTTGTTCCTGGTGTCATTGCCCAGCCCATTATTAAGGTTGAGGAAGGGGGCAACAAAAGAAATAAAGTGGGGGTGGCTCTACCTGGTTGCTATTTCTCTAGAAAACCACTAATCATCCTACTAGTATTTCATGGGCCCCTACTTCTCCTAAAATACTCTACCTTCAGGCATGGAACATTTTGCTCCTGCTCCTACTTGGACCTGTCATTTTCTGGGGTTCTGTGTTGAAGCTTCCATCTTTAATCCTATACTTCTTACCCTCAGGGTTCCTGATAGCTTCTGCTTTACCAATTGCACATTTTTAAAACTCAGTCATATATCTTTTTCTCTTGTTTTTAAGACATTTTCTATCACTTCTAGGGAGTGGGCAGGACTAGGAAGTGGTAGGAATGCTCAGTCTGCCTATTCTAACTGGAAACTCTATATTCTTTTAGTAAATTTCCCATTTAAATGAAAATAAAAGAATAAATTAACTCCTTACTTTCCCTGGTCTTTTTTCACATTGAAGAGAGAGAAAAAAGGGAGAGAAACACCATTCAAGTGACACATTTTGACATACCGGACCGTGTAGTTTTGCTCTGGGTTCTTTTAGAAACAGGTGTTTCCAGTAATTTTGCCATTGTAGCAAGTTTGCTAGCAGCATTCATAATCTTTTTATCAGCCCTGTAGGGAATTCCAGAATATTAATATAGTTTTAAGGGAAAATGGGTTTTCTTCTTTGCCCCAGGATTTCTGTTTTTCAATTAGCTCTGCCAAAATTTAGGGTAACGCAGCCCTCAAGTCAGTTTCTTTTAACCCCCAATGGCTGCTCACATAGAAAGTTAATGTTTTTTTAAAGAGAAAGATAGAAAATGATAATAATGCTGTCCTGGTAGTCTCATGACACACTAGTTAGACTAAACTTACCCTTCCTGCTTTCCATTATCCTGCAAAATCTGTTGGAGGCAAATCAGATAATATTTGCGCATCTTTCGGGCGGTTTCTTGACGTTCTCGTAATACCTCTGTTTTCACCATTTCGGCAGCTCTCTCCTTACTCTCCTGGATATAACGGAGCATATCACCTACATGAGGTGGGGGAAAACCCCCACAGAATGCATGTTTAGTAGCCATTTTTCAGACATAGGAGAGACAGGCTTAAACCAACTTTAGGGAGATGAAGTGATTGGAAGTATAGTTGAAACATTATAGATCCTCATTATCATTAAAATGCAATTATTTCTGATCACCATTTTGGCAGACTCAAAACAGAAGTCATCTAGGAGTCCTTATGGAATGATGGTAGCCACATATGCTAAGGAAACACAGCAGAAACTCATATATTTCAAGATAATATAATGTCCAAATGAGAGAAAAAAGGGAAGCTTAAAGAAAAGGTGATTCAATCAATTTATGTAGATATTCCTCATCTCAGGGAGAAAGAGATAATTACCCAAACCTTAAGAGAGGTTTTCCAATAGTGACTTTTTCCAATAGTGAAACATGGGAAGTTGGGGGAAAAAAGAGAATAATTTTACTCGAGAAACTGACAAACACTACGAAACAATGAAGGTTAATATCAACAGTGCTAATACATGTTGATGACATACATCTTGGACAGGTGATAAAAAAAAAAAAAAAATCATGTTATCTCTACAGCATTCTTCCCTAAAAGTCATAATCTCTGTGTAGCCAGAAGACAAACATTAGATGAATCCAAACTAAAAAGCATTCTATATAACACCTGGCCAGTACTTCACAATACCATCAACATCATCAAAAACAAGAAGAGTCTACAAAACTTTCACAGTTAGGAGAACCCTAACTAAGTATAACTGATATCCTAGATGGGATCCTGGAACAGAAAATGATTATCAAGTAGTATCTAAAACGAATGATTTAGATTCATTACTTTTGACAAATGTATTATGTAAGATAGTAACCGTATGAGAAATTAGGTGTGGAGTTACAGAAAATCTCTTGCATTATCTTTGCAACTTTTTAATAAATCTAAAATAGTTCTAAAATAAAATTTTCTTTTTGAAACAAGAAAGAAAGGGTGAGGCAAAAGGGAACATCAAAGCAAACACCAAAAGACAGAAGAAAAGAAGCAATATGAGCTGTAGAGACTCTTCTGCTATAGACTTGAGTTCTGCAAATGTCATCATTTATTCAATTCGTTAAGCAGCACTTATTTAGTATCTAACTAAATTTAATAGTATTTTACACATATCGCTCATGGACTATAATAATACAAGAAGCTGAGACTTAGAGCTACCTTTTGAAATTTACATTTAAACACAGTTCACAGCTTTCAAGTTTTCTTTTTTAACTCAACATGCTTTTATTGGAACTGCCATTAGTTGGGGCGCATATATTTTACTAAATGCGGGGCTACATGATACATCTAGAATTTCACCTGCCCCTGTTATATTAGGAATATCAATTCACAGGATTCTCCCTCTTAATGTCAGGAAGCTCTTCCTGAAAATTAGATGGTCCATCCAGGCAAACCTCTTCCCAGCTGCCCTTGTGCACTTTGGTGCGGAGGAGCCTTTCGACCTTTACCTGGAACCCAGACTGCTGGACCATGCCATCTCCTCATCCTCGGCCGACATGATGGTGGCCAGGTGCATGGCCAGGGCTATGGGAACCTCACCTTCCTTGCCTGTCACCCCTGAGCCTGGGCCCATGGAACCTGAGCAAGGCACTGAGCAGACCCTGGACCCTCCCGAGCCTGCCCGGGGGCCAGCCCAGCCCGTGCAGAAAAGCACGGGCAAGGTACCCAAGTGGTTGGAACTCCCAGCTGACAAGAGGTGAAGACTGGGACCCAGAGGAACCTGCCCAGCTCCCACCCTGAGTAGGAATAAAGACCATGTGCTTCGCAAAAAAAAAAAAAAAAAAAAAAATAGATGGTCCATATGAAAATATTAACTGAGAAACTAGTTTCTATACAGTTTTTCATATATAAACTCTGGCCATTTTAGTGGGAGGTGGCACTGTAAGATAAGCACTGGATTGTGAACCACAATGTCGGTGGTTCAAACCCATCATCCACTCCTTGGAAGCCCTATGAGTCAGAATTGCTATGAGTCAGAATCAACTCAAGGGCACAATCTATATAATTTTGAGACTGAAAGCTGTGAGGCATTGTACTGAGCAAACACAAACCAGGCACATGCTCTGAAAGATATGCTGACACAACCATGTACTGCAAAGGGCTTGAAAACCAAACCGATGTCCATCTATGTTTTAATCTACCGTCACAATCATGACAAACAGCAGAACAACTCCTAACTAGATCCATTTCTACAACCCTTACAAGTGTATGCTGACTGGTTGCCAGGTGTCATCATTGCATCAATTCTGACTCATGGAGACCCTGGATGTATCACAGGGGAGAGGACCATCAGGCCTTTCTTCAGAGGTACCTCTGAATGAACTTCCAATCCTTCAGTTAGCAACCCACAATGTTAACCTTTTAGCACTACCCAGGGTCATGTGACATTTTCTTTGGTAAAAGAACATTAAGTTTTTAGATTAGTACTAGTATCCAAGAAATTAAATAGTTAATAATATAAAAGTGACTTTACTCCTCAAGTCACTTACAGAAATACAACTTGGGCAAAATGATCTATTACTGCATTATTCACAAAAAGTATCAATACTGTCTTCTAAGATCAGGCATGATCTCAGAACAAGGCAGTTTGGCAAATTCCCTAAACTTATAGTTGTTATGAGCTGCTCAGCTGATTCTGACTCCTAATGACCCTCCCGCACAGAGCAGACTGGGCCCAAGGCTGGGAATCTTTACAGAAGTAGAACGACATCTTACTCCTATGGATGGGCTGGTGGGTTCAGACCACCAGTAGAAAAGCTCTTAACTTCTGTGCCGCAAGGGCTCAGTCTAAAATTACTACTGCTAAGAAACTCGAGTTTACAACAATGACAGTTGAAAAATGCTCAAACAATCCTTTAAGTCTTTAGAATTTCTTTAGGGACTTACACTTAATCTTCTTCACAGCTTTAATGTACTGCCCACGAAGTTCTTCCAAGGCCTTCCCATTGCAGAATATGCAAGCATTTTCAACAGCCCCTTCTGACAATGACCTAAAAACAAGCCAGAGATTGCAAGTGAAAAACTTGCTTTAAGAAAATATATATGCAAACATATGTTCTAGACATGTGCTAAAAATTTCACATACGAGGATCTATACTATGTTGTTGTTGTTGTCAGGTGCCATGGAGTCAGAACCGACTCATAGTGACCCCATGCACAGCAGAACGAAACAATATCCGATCCTGGGCCAACCTCACTACTGCCACCACACTTGACGCCATCAATGATGCCACCTGGCTGATCCATCTTGTTGGGGGTCTTCCTCTTTTTCTCTGACCCTCC